AAAATTTTAAAACAAGGAAATGAATGCAAAACCCTAGGAAAAATCAGAGTTTGGATTATTAAAGTATTAAGTAAAATTCATAGAAAATAAATGGGAAATATATTACTGTAAGAAAAAAGCAGCGAAATAAAATTTAGGAACAGATAACCTTTTCAGTAAATGATGCTGGAAGATGCTATCCATATGCTAAAAGAAAAAAAAAATGTGAATTTGGGACCCTTCATTTCAAGCATGCAAAATTTGAGTCTAAATGAATTGTGGGGATATTTTAAGCTAAGCTTCATAAAACAGTTTTAAAACCAGAAATCTTGATGATATCGGGTGAGGTAAAGCCTAAGAACAGCAAGATAATGGTAGGAAAAGTGTTAGATAAATTCATTCGTCTGAAAAGTAAATGCGTGTTGCAAATTATATCATCAAATGAAGAACCATCCCACAAACCTGAAAACATGTTTAATCATGTACAATGACACCGTGCTTTCCAGGGGGTAAACACTGAACCTAACCACTGAATTTGATTTGGGACCACAATCATGGAAAGTATGAAGTTTATGAGCTGAGGTACTGCAGTAGATCAAAAAGTAAATTGTACTCAAATGTTGTAGCTCTTAAAATTTAAAAATAAAACAAATGAATTCTAATAAGCAAATAGTTTAAATAAGTATACTCCTCAATACACATATGAAAGGCCAATGGGCAAATGAAATGACGTTCTTTATAACTAAGGCAAATTCAAACTAAGTGAGGTACTACTTCATATAAACCAGTAATAACAATGCTGAAAAAAGACAGAAAACACCCAAGTGTTCTCAAGGATTTACAGAAACTTCCATCTTCCTGTGTCAAATGAAGGGATGCCAACCAATAGGAATCTCCCAGAAGAGAGAATTGAAGTTTCATAGGACTCACATATATACCAAAATGATTGCACAGAAACATTTACATGAATATGCATAGCAGTGTTAGTCATAGTAGTTAAAAAAAGCTCCAGTGCCTGTCAATTAATGAAGAAGTCAACTGCGATATAAGTATACAAGGAAAAATTATTCAGCACCAAAGAAAGGGACTACTGATAGATAGCATGATAGAGGTGAACCGCAGAAAAATTTATAAAAGAAATCAATCACATGAGGGCAGATATATTATTAATCAAGGTCCATGAACATCAAGTATCCTGCAAATTGAGGGACAGAAACTGGAGCATTGCTTTCCAAAATTTGGAAGAAATGATAAGAGGAGGATGGATGAGTTATTCTTTTTTATTTAAAGAAAGACAAAACAAAATAGAAAATGGGCAGAAATATTCCATACTTTTAAAGAAAAAAAATAATAATAAATCACTAGCTTATATATACATATTGTCCCCCTATAAATAGTTGTTCAAGGTACACAAGTAGAACATATAAATGGGATTTCAACCAGGGAGACTGCAGATAGTTCTGTTCAACTATCCAACAAAAACTAAGTATTATGGCTATCAATCCTATACACTTAGACATGTATGCGTTTATCTATATCTTCATTTATGTTGAGATCTAACACAACTTATGAGATTAAAATCCTTCTGAACAAAGATTAATAATGTTGCTAGATTTCACATCGTAACACTGTGGAATCAGGATTTGGTACTGCAGTGCTCCTTTCTTTGCTTCAAAGTTTTGGTTCATTTCATCATGCATCATCAGTTTTTCTTCATGAGGCATTGGCAAGATTGTGAATCGCCAGTTTGTGCCTAAACTGTTTATAGGTTGTATGAAAGAGTGAGTCTTAACATGTATTTCTATCCTTTCTATATTAGAGGCCGAAACAACAAAACGGATAGAACTAAACTTTTTCCTATAGACATATAAAATTAAAAAGACATATAAATCTGCTGTATGAGGAGTTCTACCCTGGTCTCTGTGCTATTTCTTGTTATCAACAGAATTGGCTATATCATCAGATAAAGTTGTAATTGAACATATTAGTACATAACAGAATTAACAGAAATACAACAGTGTAGATAGTGTAGAGCTACAAAAACAGGTAGTAATCAAATCAGAATGGATATCTTAGTGATTCATTGTCATTTTCAGTTTTGAATAAAATTTGTCAATAATAAGCAGCGATCAAACAAGTCAGATGAGTTATTCTTTAAGAGTATAAGTTTTCTTCAGGGGTAATTACTTATTCTGTAATTATATAATAGGGATGATTTTGTAAACTTACAGATATATTTTGAAATGCTGACCTGTGAACTGTAAAATAGAGATATTTCTGGAATTATTTGAATGACCTATCAATGGTCATTTCTAAAATTAGATTCTATGTCTCCCATCCTTGGACCTCATGTGGGCTCAGTGAGGCTGACTGTCTCTCCATGCTGTTCTTTCTCAGCCTCTGACAGAGTCCATTGGAGGCACTCAGTGTAGAACAAGAGTTTCAGACAAGTGAGCTGGCGGTCTGCTCTACTGTGTTTTTTAAATTTGCCATGCAATCAATTTTAAGTTTTAGTTTTTTGAGGGTCGTGTAGACAGAATGCCATGGGTGATGGCGATTCACAATCTTGCCAATGCCTCATGAAGAAAAGGCATCTGCTGTAAATCATATCTGTGCTCCAATTCTAAACATTTCCATTTTCTAAATATGCAATGGTTTATACAATCTCACTTGGGCTCACCTTAGAAGGTGCACACCTGTGGTGCTCCAGTGTCTTTTAAAGTTAAAGAACTCTACCCATTGTAGGGACTCGGTGTAAACACAGTTCACGCTGGCACTTTCCTCTTTTGGCTGCCAAATGAAAGCAGTTCCTTGGCTGGTTTACTGAAAAGCAGTAAAATTTAGGTTGAGGAAAGTTTGTGCACAGAGGTATAAGACTTTTCTTTCCTCAAAAAAGTATATATTTTGCTAAGAGACAAAAATGAATTCCCTTTCATTATCACAATATCTGCTCTACAGTTTGTATCTTATTATGGTTGTAGATTATTTTTTCAAAAAAAAAAAAAAAGAACTGGGATAGGGGAAAGGAAAGAAGGAAGCAGGGAAAAGATTGTATGCATATAGGTACACATATATACCTGTATGGTTAGACACAGAAGACTATCTATAAGTTCATCAAAAAGAACAGTTTGTGTCTTCGTCCTTTGACTGATCATTTTTTTTTGACACCAAAATCTTGTAACCTGTGTTACTTCTAGGATAACAATATGTCATATATTAACTAGTGTGAATGTCCTAATTTTTAAAAAAAATTCTGTATCATTTCCATCAATTTATCTGCTTTGCTTTTTAAAATAAAAAAAAAGGAAAGAAAAAAAGAAAATGAAAGGTGAGCATCTGCCCTACTGTATAAATCCCTAAATGACTCTGAGCAAGTTTCTTGACCACATTGAAGTTGTCAGCTTACCTGCAAACGAGGAAAGCACTACACATGACTGCCACTTCTGGTTCCTGTGATAACAGCACGATAAGAAGCGCAAACTTACATAAATAGAGCTACGCTCTATGTGAGTTTATTATTTCATATGTTAATCAGCACATACTTCTGTGTCTTTGCTGAGTGCACATTTTAAACCGTGACCTTTAAAAGGGGACAGGGCATCAACTGCTTGAAGATGCCTGCAGGGGTAAATCTAAGCACTCATTTTTTCTTAGAGTCTGAGTTCTGGGTTAGTGATGTACAGAGCCATTTTTGCATGGTAATCTCACAGCAGTTCACCAGTGAGTTGAGGGTGTATGTCCCCTCCTGTCTGCTGCGGCTCTGTACTATTACCAGTGGAACCTGAGGTAATCACCATTGAGATTACTATTTACAGATCTTAGTGATTTGAAAATTCTCTGCCTGAATGTTTTAAACTTCAATCACCTTAAACCCAGAAATGAAACAAAGCAGTGATGGTCCTTTTCATATCAATTCTTTAAAAAATAATGCATTTTACCTCAATGTCTCAAAGCTATGAGATTAAAGGAATGGTTGGCCTAAACTTTCCTGCAAATGGCTTATTCCTGATTTAAAAAATGTAATTGTAACTCATGCATAGGGGAAGGAAATTGTGGACACATGCTCGCCTTTGACCTGGTACACCTCATGCATTACTGGAGAACAACTCTGTCTCAGGGCTGAGCTAGAAGACCCGGTAAGCCAGGTCGGATGTTCAAGGCAGAGACAGGGTTTACTAAGGATGTAGGAGAACCAGTTCTCTTTATCAAAGATCCAGCTCGGAACTTCAGAATCCTCACTTTCTTGCATCTGTGAGCATATTAATTTCTATTTTCTAAGAATGCTTTTGCAAGTGATGCAGAACAAAGTACTTTAAGCCTAAGGAGTTACACATGCCTCAGCACTGGAGCAGTACCTGTGTGTGTAAAGATTCCGAGCTGAGTGTTCCTACGCCCAGTGCCAAGATCCGGTTTTCCACAACTGCTTCTGTCAAAGGGCGTTTCACATTCCATTTGCGTTTTTTCAGGTTTGCTAATTCACGTTTTCTCAGGGAAGCCTGTTAAGTACTGGATGCTCATCCTAAACAGGCAGAAACTACGGGAGCGCACAGCCCAGCCCTGAGCCTGCCCCCACAGCCCGGAGTTCACTGCTGTGCGCTCAGATGCGTTTTCTGGGCTGCCCCCGGACGCGGCTCACCTGGGGATAAGGTCGCTTTCAGGTGCACTACTTGGGTCTCCAGCTGCAAGTTCTTGGGCCGGGGCTGTGGAATCCGATCTGACGATTAGAAATCCTGGGAGCCCACACGCATCCGAGGGCTTCCTCGGGGTCCGACCCGTCCCTGTGGCCGGCGTCTCCTGGCCTTGTCCCAGGCACCGGTGGGGACGATGTTCCCCGTGCGCGCTCGGCGCCTCCCGGCCCGGAATTGGGGTCCGTCAGGTACGAGGCACACCTGCCTAGGACCTTGATGTCCTCTCGCGCTGCAGCTCCGGGAGCCCCGCTGACCGATGGCCCCTGACCACTGACCGCTGACCATCGACCGCTGGCCGCAGACCACTGACCGCTGGCCGCAGACCCCCGCCCTCCGCCCCGCCCCGCCCGCGGGGACATCGCGGTGACATCATCACTCCCGAGCTACTCCCGCGCCCGCCCGCCAGCGCCGCCCCAGACCAGGCGCTCCTCCGCGGGCCGGCTGGGTCCACCCGCCGCTGGACAGGGCTCATCGCTGCCGCCGGAGACAGAGCCCGACGCCGAGGCGCGCCAGGAACGGGAGCAGGCCAGTAGCGGGGAAGGAGGACCCCGGCCGGCGACAGCATGAAATTCAGCCCAGTGCACTACTTACTGCCTCTGCTCCCCGCGCTGGTCCTCAGCACCAGGTGAGTCCGGGGAGCGGCGTGACCCGGTCCCTGAGGGTCACCGGGCAGCGGCGAGGGTCCGGGACTGCGCGCCCCTGGCGCAGGGTGCCGAGCGAATGGGGTTGGGGATGCTGGGGGAGCAGCGACTCCAGTTAAGCCAGGTCCTTGAAGAAAGTCCTCCGTATGCTCCAAGAAGGGGCCAAGAGCTTCGCTTTGAAAGGAAAAGACATTTTTATTCTCCCTTCTAGCCCTAAAAGGAGTGGACAGAAAACACGCAGTGACAGAACAAAATACAGAAAGGAAGTGCAGACACAAAAAGGGAATTGTCAGCAGGCAGTGTCTTTCCCTTGGAGTGGTTTTCATAGCTACAGAGCTCCCCACCTTTCCCGAGGGGCCCTGGTGTTAAGCTAGGGAGAATCAGAGAGCGTAGAAGATGCTAGAAAGAGCTAAAGACTTGCACAAAAGTTCCGGGACGCCTGCAGTGACTTGTTTTGGTGTCTGGAGTGGGCTCCTGATAGGTGTTTTCACTGGGTTCTGTTGTGAATAGGTGAGAAGTTAGAAGTCACTGGGAGTGCTGGGTGTAGAGTCCCTGGTCCCAAACAATCAGGTACTGTGCTGACTGCCTGGCCAGGATGTGACTGCAAGCCTGGGCACAGAGCAGCTATTTTCAGGGGGAGTTAAAATGCAGTGATTGAGAAGAGTTTTGTGACTTGGTTTTATGGATCAAATCCCACAGTTGGTGATGGCTTGGCTCTCTGCTTCCACAAGAGTGGACTGTTTTGTTGCCCAGGCTGTCTTTATTTGGCTTGACCTTAGCATCATACTGGCAGTAACTTCTTTCCCTTGGCTCCTCGAAAATAAAATAACCCACACAGGATGGGGATTCTTTCAAATCTCAATGAATGGAAACATTGTACAGTTGTACATCTGATGGAAAAATAAAGGCGAGCTATAGGGTTATATGCAATCCTGACATAGCAAAAGATAAACCTTGTTACCTCTTAGAAACCTACATGGTATCATTCTTCTGTCCATTTCTCATGTCCACGCCAAACTTTCCTTTTCATTGAGCCCAAATAATGGATTTAGTCTTCATTTTGTTCAGGTAGCACAGGTAACTTTTGCAGATTACAATAGAATTTGAGTTTTGTTTACCCTGCGATTCCCTTGCTACTTTGTTTTATAAACGCACGTGGTTTTTAAGAAAGTCAGTGCTTCTTCTTATTATCATAGCTGGTTCCAAATCAAGCCCTCCGAAATAGATGTGTTGAGCTCTGTCTTCACTGGTACAGATAATGCCTCAGACATATTCTTAGAGTCCTTGCCTTTCACTCTCACGCTCTGGTTTAGTATTTACTTATGAAATCCTCAAGAGAAAGAAAATTTTCAAAATTTGTATGCCTAAAATCATGGCAGTCAACATATCCAAAGAAGAGCAAATATTTAAGACTTGGAAACAAAGACTAAAGTGATTTCAAAAAGTGTGCCACTCTCTGAAGTCCCAAAGGTATGTTTGCTTTTGAAAGATACTATGATTTAAGCAGCTGGAAATTTCAGTTTCTACCTTCCAAAGCTTTGTTATTTATATAATACAATGATCATCTTGGCCCTCTTTTTGAAAGTATTGATTTCTGTGGAAAAATTATTTATTTAACAAAAGCCAACATATGTACTTCAAAAATTCAAATAGTGAAACATAGCTTTATTTTAGATGTGAAACTTTTTCAATGTTGGTTATATGAGAAAACTAAGATGGATCTTTAAAGTTTATCCAAAAAAAGCATGATGGGCTTGAAAAAAAATAAAATTTTCGTGAACAGTGTCACTTGGGATGGTGTGGTTATTCTGTAGTAACTCATTCTGCTAGATACTCAGATTACCTTGGGACTGAGCACACTGAAAATGAATGTGGTACTTAGCAACATGTCACTTGGCAGGAAGAGAATGTTACCAGAAGGCTCTCATCTTTGTGCTGTTAAACAGTTCTCGCAGGCAGGTGAGCAGTGTCCAGATTGGAGCACCAACTGAAGAGCTCTGTGGGGGCAGTTGCACGCGGAGGTGTGAGATTATTGCCCTGCTGGGATGAAGGTGTAGTCAGTACAGCCACATGTGATAGGCAGCTTCTAGCACGAGATTTCCTTCAATTTAGTTTCTTAATCAGAGGTCCTGGGTGGGAAGCACACGGCCTTTGCTACACTCAGACAATATTGAGCGCATTACCAAAGGTTGGGTAATGCCAGTTCTCCTTTATGCTTTGTCACAGCCCTAACTGTTACTTGCCTTCTCAGGTGTTGAGAAAGTGAGGCAGAGACCCTTGGTGCAAAAAAATGTGTGCTATTTTTTTCCCCAATAGTTCTAGGGTTCGTTTCTGCTTTAAAGTAAAGCAAGAAGTTCATTGAAGCCAGTGCTGAAGTGAGAGACCTGTTCATTCTCGTTGCAATGATAAGTTGAAGACATTCTAAATATGGATTTTAGAACTGCCTTCTGTTTGTTCCTCCTCCCTACCTATTCTGCAGCAACTTTAGACATGGAAATACAAAGAAATCCCGTAATTTCATCAGTGTGAACAAAGTCAGTACCTTTCCCATTAAAGCCACTTTATGTTCACCTTCAACAATAGCCATTTTCTCTTTATTTTTCTTGCAAACACCACAGAAACAGCAAGAACTGTTTGGTTTCCTGGCATATTGTCTCTCTTGCTTAGAAAGTGCATACAAACCCAAGAAGTTCAAGCTAATGATATGAATAATGTAGCTAATGCAGGGGCTCATTTAACCTCTTCACAAATAACTGCCGTCAAAGAAAGCAAACAAATGTGTTGGTTTAATAGCTTCAGAGTGGGGCGAATGTACTTTTCACACAGCCTCATTTTGCAGAAGTATTAAATTTCTATTTTGAAGCAGCCAGTAATTCACTTCAGAAGAGTAACGGAAGTGCTGAGAGGAATGCTGGGTGGAGAATTATTTAGAATCCTGGAGAAAGGGGACCCATGGAGAGCTCAAGGAGGCTTGTGCTTCAGTCCTCTGTGTTCCTCTGTGCTGTGCTGACCCTCTGGATGACTTGGATCATTAAATTTTGAATGCATGACAAGGGGAGAGACATGGCGGAATACCGGTCTACTGACTTCTGGTGCTTCGCTTTCAAACAAGAACTTTGCACAGGTGGTATGTGAAAGTCCTCCCAGCGGGAGGTGCTCAGCTGTCTCCCCGAGTGGTATTTTTGGGTGATGCTGAGTGTTAAAGATATTTGGGCTCTTATGGATTGAGGATAAAGTTTGGGAAAGGGTGAGAATCAGAGTAAACACATGGTAAGTGTTCAATCTTACTCGGGTGTTTTCTTGTTTTGTTTTTTGAGACAAAGTTTTACTGTATGACCTGGAGGACCTCAGACACACTGCCCTCCTGCCTTAGCCTCCTGAGTAGCTAGGTTCAAAGGTATGTGTCGCCACATCCAGGGTCACACACAAAGTATATGAATGGAAATACATTCGATGTAGAAAATAGTTTTGTTTTCATCTCCCTGAAACAGACTGGTAAAAGAAGGTTTCCCCTACGTTCTGCACAGTAAGTCTATGGCATCTGTGATGCTATCTAGATCTTGTTCATAGCATTCTATGTAAATATTTAGAGAAATGTCTTGCACAATAAATATGGAGTACAAATATTGTGATGCTAGAAGTTACAATTCTAGACCTAATATGTCCACTTCCCATAGTGCTTTGGTTGTTAAAATGACTTATTTGAGGATTATCTTTGGAGATTAAAGTACCTCTATGTCTGATGATAGGGCAATTTCAGACATTTATGTGTTGGTTGTGCAATTTTCCTAAGCGAAATTCCATGTGATTAACAGTAAGAGCTTGACTTTTTAACCAGAAGGCAAAAATCGCTGAAATCACTGAGAAGTATACTAAGATATTTTCTCATATGTGCTTGGAGACATGGTGTGTGGCTATTTTTGAGGGACTTCTAGAGAATTTTTCACAATAATATCTTTACACTGGACTGAATCATTTATGTAACTTTAATCTGATTAAATTAACACTGCTTATAATTATACTTTTTTTCCGCTAAAGAATTAAAACGTCTGTGTGACTTTAACTTCCTCTCTTTAGAGATGTCAGTGCTATTTCCATCATTACACAAGGAGTGTACCAGAGACCGGTCAGTTATTACCTGAGACTTGAAGACAACAAATGATATAGATTACTTACAAACACATCTCTCCAGAGCCAGACATATGAACAAATGATGGATAAGACGAAAGCTTGGTAACAACCACACAGTTCTAAGTGTGAAAAGAGCAAAGAGTGAGCAGAGCCAACTATGCTCAATGGATTCTAATTTAAAGATGAGTACCATATCAAAGTCAGTATCAATATCATTTTACAATTGTTACCGTAAAAGGGTAGAGGAATTTTTTGTTCTCTTACACCAGGTTTTCCATAGATCAGACAATATGACTCATAGAACCAACATCATAAGGTTGTTTTAAAGACTGAATGAGTCAATTTATGGAAAAAGTTTAGCATATTTTGTGGAACACAATAAATACTCAACAGGGGTGGCTCTGGGCCAGTATGACTGTGTTATTTTCAAGAAAGCTTTGAATCTTTGATTGGCCAGGACATAGATAAATAGAGAGGAAATTGAATGCAAATTGATAGAATGAAACCAAATTAACGAAAGCACAGTCATAATTTTAAAAAGAAAAAGAAAGAAAAGACAGGCAGAAGAGTGACCAGGAATACAATGAAGGTGACCGGATACCTTGGCCAGTTCTTCCTTGTAGCATTTGGTGGCATAGATCCTGGACATTGCCCTACATTTTAGTGAAGGTCATGAAGTGCAGAGATATTTAACTTAATCACATAGAGTGTGATTTAGCACAAAAGTGTATATTTAGCTACTTGCGTTCCTATTTAAGAGGCAATTACATTTACACTGTATAAATCATTCCAGATCAAAGCCATGAGCACAGGTGTCAATGAATATATAAAAATTATTTTATTGCTACACAGA